TGCTGATTTTTAAAATGCTTTTAGCAATGCATATTTCAAAAGTCCCCATATTATAGACACGAGATCACAAATCATGATACTCAATCGCAAATTGTAATACCCAATAATGGAGATTTGATGCTCACTGAAAATGTATTGATGCTCAACGAACAAAACTTACAATTTTCATATCAATGCTCATCTTGTAAGTTATATATGCTCATTTGTATAGGTCTGATACTCATTAAATATATTTAAATGAGCATACTAGAAAATTTAAATGAGCTTTTGAATATTTCAATGCTCATTTTATAATATATGTATACTCATTCAGGACTAGTGTTATACCCATTTTAAAATGTTATATCAATACTTATGTAACTAATGCTCAACACAATAGGTATCATGCTCATTAAGAGTACATTATTTGCTTCATAGAATATATGAAGCAAATATCGTGAAACTCATGGTTAGCCTCCTAATATTCAATAAAAATAGGCGAGATGCTCACTAAAATTACACTATTGCTCATTTAGCGGAAGCCGCGATTTTTAGTAACCTTCCACTTTAATGTTATACTCAATTATTATGAAAATGTATAATATAAAATATTATTAAATGTTTTAGTTTTATATTTTTGATTCATATATGCAAGAGTTGATTATAGATATATGAGCACTGACCATGAGACTCAATTGCATTTGTTCAATACTCAATAGAGGAGTTTTAATGCTCAATAAAAATGTATTGAAGTTCAACTAAAAAATTTACGGTTTATACTCATTTTGTAAGTTACGTTTGTTTAATTTGTACTCATATTATGCTCATTTTTAAAATGTCATATTCATGCAAATTTTAATGCAAAATTTAAAAGTTGCATATGACATTGGATTCACATTGTTAAGATCTTAATACTCAATTGAATAAGTTCGATGCTCATTAAAAGTGTTTTAATAATCATATCAATGCATTTTTTAAAGTACTATTTTACATTAGATTCACATATTGAATTACATATTGAATTTCATAAGATTTGATTATAAATATAATTTATTAAGTTTTTATAAAAAGAAAAAGTAATAAAAAGAAAGTGACTTAGAAGGTATGCGGCAGAGATCACGATACTGAATATGAGACTTCTAATACTCAACATAATAGGTCTGATGCTCATTAAACGTTCATTATTGCTCATTCAGAAGAAACAGTGACTTTCATCTCAATAACCAAGGTTTGATGCTCAATTAAAATGTCATGATGTTCAACTAACAAAGCAACTAACAAATTCACTAATACTCATTTTGTAAGTTATGTATGCTCATCTGGTACTGATCTTATGCTCATTTTGTAAATGTCATATCAATGTCATAAATATAATGTAGTAAGTTTTTATAAAAGACAAAATAACAACAAAGAAAGTGAATTAGAAATTATGAAGTAGAGATCACGATTCTAAATATTGGACTCCTAATACTCAATATAATAGGTCTGCTGCTCATTAAAGGTTCATTAGTGCTCATTTACACGAAACGGTGATTTTATCTCGATAGTGGAGGTTTGATGTTCAATGAAAATGTGATGATGTTCAACTAACAACTTACGATTTAATAACAACAAAGAAAGTGAATTAGAAAATATGAAGCAGAGATCACAATTCTAAATATTAGACTCCTAATACTCAACATAATAGGTCTGTTGCTCACTAAAAGTTCAGTAGTGCTCATTTTTCTGAACCATCTTTCAATTGTTTTATACTAGTACTTTTCTTTAATTCTGAGTCTTTTGTTGTTTTCAATAAAATGTACAATGGGGGTTGGAGTTGTGCAAAGAGCACATGAAAAACTAACTATAGCTAGAGATAATGATAGCTATTTAGTGTCTCACCACTTCTCAAAATATGAGAGCTATGTACTTCGTACAAAATAACAAAAACGAAGAACGGGCTTATTAGAAACCTAACAATATATAATGAGCATTAATGAGCATAATGTGCATTAGACCTATTATGAGGATTAAAACACTTTTGATGAGCATCTGGTTTATTAGAAACCTAACAATATATAATAAAATTATAAATACATTTATATAAATTAATTAATAGTATGATTCATAGATTAAATAAATACTTAGTTTGAATTAGTTTTAATATAGTAATAATGAGCAAAAACAAAGAATAGTTAATATTATAATTACTATTAATAAATAATTGTAGTAGGGAGTATGAAAACATGTAGGCTAAGTAAGAAAAAAGGACAGATATTTTCAAAGAGACAAGCAGCCGAGATGGATGGAGTGCTGCAGGCTATATTTGAAGTCCAGGGATCGAATCCCGCTGGCGTTTTTTTCTTTTTTCCTGAAGTCCGGATTTGGTCCTAAAAACAAGTTTAGCCATTTTAAAAAACCGGATGTACGTACACCCGGGTGTACAATATAGGCACTCGTACTATATTACTACGTAGTACATCATTGCTATATTTTCTTGTTTTAACCATGAAAGCATACAGTACTATTATTATTAAATTGTTGTTATTGTTTTTTATTTACAATGTTCATTTTCTAATAATTACTCCCTCCGTCCTAGGGAGAAGTTCCCGGGTTGACTTTCACACATATTAAGGAAATAAAGTTACTGGGGGGTAAATTTTACTGTTTGTCACTGTTTCGACACTGTTTGGCACTGTTTCAACACTGTTTGGCACTGTTTTGCACTGTTTGGCACTGTTTTTATGTAGGATAACTTTCCATTTAGGGAAATGGGAACTTTTTGTTGGGACTGCCAAAAAAGGAAATTGGGAACTTCTCCCTGGGACGGAGGTAGTATATTATACTAGTACAATAAATTCAATGAAGCAGTCCCATTTTCACCTCCGAAGGTAACTTAGTAACTACGGAGTATAATATGGTGTCAAAAAAAACTACGGAGTACTGTATATATAACATAAAGTCAAAAGGATAGGAAGAAATCATTGAAAGAGACGTTTTCATTTTAACTCTGATAAACAAGAAACATAAAGTCAAAAGGATAGGAAGAAATCATTGAAAGAGACGTTTTCATGTTAACTCTGATAAACAAGAGTCAAATAAAAAATTAAAAGCATCGTTTACTTAACACTTAAATAAATGTTTCATCCTTGATATGGTCAAACAAATCCAATAAGCTAAAACAAGGGTTGAATCCTTCTTACCAAACATCCCTTGTAGTATGTGATAAGTTTGGGTTTGTTCTGTTTTGTTCAGTGAACTTTAAACTAGCTCATTTTTTCTCTGGAAATGGTGCACACTCCTTTCTACCTCCTCATTCTCCTCATCTTTTTGCAACTCCTTCCATTTCCAGCCTTTGCTCAAAACAATGGCAATGAAATACCAGTTAACAGCTCCCTCACTGCAACGAATGGGACCATACCATGGCGTTTATCACCATCCGGTGATTTCGCTTTCGGGTTCTCACAAGTTAAAGGCACAAACCAGTTCCTACTGTGCATATGGTATGCCAAAATAAAGGACCTTACCATAGTTTGGCATGCCAAAACCAATACTTCTGGAGTCCCCCAAGGATCAACCCTGCAGCTGGATGCCGAAAACGGGCTTGTTCTTCGTGATCCTCGGGGAAACAGATTATGGAGCAGTGATGGCTATGTTGGTAAAGTTGCTTATGGATCTTTCTATGACACAGGGAAACTTGCACTCTCTGGAAGTGATCATACAGTTTTGTGGGATACTTTTTCCCACCCAACTGATACTTTGTTGCCAACCCAGGAGATGAAGAATGGAAGCAGTCTCATATCCTTAAAGTCTGAAGCCAATTTCACACAAGGTCAGTAGGCCTCTCATAATTAAATTAAAAGGCTTGGAGTTTAGAAATTACATTGCATATAACATGACTTTAAATAAATTGCATTTGTGGTCACGGTAAGAGTTGATGTTGCTATTGTTGCTATTGTTGCTATTGACTTGTTATTGCGTCGAGGATGCATTGTGATGCGGTTACGGTACAGATTGCAAATGCAATCGGACCGCTCGATATATAGTGTATAAGCTTTTCTATTTAGGCTAAAGGGTCAAATAGGGTCTTGAACTAGTTAACGTGTTCAACTAACCCTTTATATAGGAGGTTCAGCCCGATCATCGCCAATTGGGGAGGTTCCCGGTGGAATGTTTTGATGAATTTTTTTTAGCATTTTCTTGATTAAGTCTAATTTACCCACACCAAATTTCAGCTAAAAATTCAACCGGGAAGGCGGTCAAATGATTTTTTGAAGATAACTGCGCAGTTAAATAACGCGGTACATTTCAGAAAATCATTTGAATGCCTTCCCGATTTAATTTTTAGCTGAAATTTGATATGAATAAACTAGACTTAATGAAAAAGATGCTCAACAAATTTTATCAAAAAATTCCACCGGGAACCTCCCCAATTGGCGATAACCGGGCTGAACCTCCTATATAAGGGACTAATTGAACACTTTAAGCTAGTTCAAGGGCCTATTTGACCCTTTAGCCTTTCTATTATGTACTTCAAAAGGATGATTAAGGAGACTAGCTGGACATGATTAGAATGAGACGAACTAAATTAGACTTAATTAGACTTACACGATATATAAAACAGAACAACACACCTTAGAAGACCGAACTATATTAGAATTATTAGGTTCAGATCATATCCAGATAGGGGTTTGAAAATCCATACCGAATGTGATTACTTTTTAAGGTCCAAAAAATAGACTAAATTCCACACTTTTGGTATGTACGTTGAATTGGTGCCCCATATGTGGTTGGTGACAAATTATGGATTGCGATAATCTAATCTTGCACATTTTGTTCTTTAAAGAAAATCTTAGAAGTGATTATATTCTCATTCATGGAAAATATATTCCTTTTTCCTTTTTGGGTTGTATAAAATATTTGTCATATTTCCATTTTTGAAAGAAATCTACTTCAAAAGCAGCTATACTATATTTTTATTAAATAAACAGCACCACTAAAGTACTAAAAATCATCTACTTTTCAAAAAAGTGTATATGAAATTTATAAATCATCCTAAAATACGTGAAAAGCTTCTTGGGACACATAAAAGGGAGTATGCTTTCCTCATTTTTTTCTCATTTTTTTTGTACAACAATTAAAGTTGGTTTAATTTGCTGAAAGTTTAATAAGATGACTACTCATTTTGCAACAGGTAGGTTCTATCTTCAACTCCTTCAAAATGGCAATTTGGTGCTGGGAACCAAAACAGTTCCCACCAATGTAGACTACAATGCTGTATACTATACTAGCCAGGCAAAGTCTGTATACAAACTGATATTCACAGACAAGGGCTCACTCTCCCTACTAAAAACAGACAACACAACAGAAACTCTTATTTCACTTTCTGACTCCATAGTCAAGGAAAACTACCTAAGACTAACTCTTAACTTTGATGGGGTCCTGGCTCTTTACAAGTACCCTATGGCTTCTTCTGGGGGTAACCAAAAATGGATTCCTCAATGGACTCAGCCAGACAACATCTGCACCAACATAACTGGAGAAAAGGGCAGTGGGGCTTGTGGGTATAACAATGTCTGCTCACTTGGCTCTGACAAGAGACCCTCTTGTAAGTGCCCACAAAGTTATTCATTGGTTGATCCAAGGGATGTGTATGGCAGCTGCAAACCCGACTTTGTTCCGACTTGTGGTGGGGGTTCTTCCTCCAATGTTAGTTTTGTTGAGGTAAAGGACACAGATTGGCCCTTATCTGACTTTGAGCAGATTAACCCTTCTGATATGGATGAATGCAGAAGGGCCTGTTTGGAAGACTGTTTCTGTGCTGTTGCCATTTTCAGAAGCAACAGCTGCTGGAAGAAGAAGTTGCCATTGTCAAATGGGCGTGTAGACAAAAGTCTGGGGGCAACGGCTTTCCTTAAAGTACACCATTAAGTAAAGGCCTCTAAGATGATGCTCATCCATCATCCAATTCTATGTTTAATTGGTGAGACTTGAGAGTATAGGATGCAGAAATGCATTGCATCCCATGCATGAAGCAATCATTAGAGGCATATAATTAAGGTAATAATTCTAAGAGCTTGTATCAACAAACTATTATCATATGGAGTAATGAAGTATTGATAGAATATAATAATGTGCTCAAGCTTGAAATAATGTTATGGGAGACATGTGAAACTCAAGTGAGTTTAATAAGTATGGCTCGCTCCTTTCATTTCTATACACTAGTATATCACCCGTGCGATGCACGGTTTATAATTATTTTGCTAAATTAATTGCTGGAAATAATTGAATGGGCCTAATTGTTACATAAAAACTTGTATAATGTAGCAAGAATGATATATCCTCAAGAGATATGTAAGATATATGATAAATATATATTAACATAGTTGGGCACATATTATATCACTACATCAAAAAGAGGATTAAGCATTTGTAAAATGTTGGGAAATACTAAAGAAATTAATAAAGATAATAACATTACATAAATGACTATAATATAACCCTACACATTGTTGAACACTTCCTTGAAAACAACATTTTGAGTCATATCTGACTATCTGTGGTGCCTCCATCCGGCCTCATCACAAATTAAAATTTTCAGACCCCGACGATTGGTAACCCTTGAAACCGCAACATACAATTGGCCGTGGGTAAAGACTGGTTTTTTTATAACAATCCTACACGTGACAATGATTGACCTTGACTTTTATTCATAGTCATAGCATATGACGTCATAATAGGATACTGGTGTACCCCGACGATTTGGTACGCCAGACAAGTTGATGCTATTCAGGAATTCTAATTCTGGTGTATGTATACAATTCGGTCATCAAATCGGTTGTGCAATCTACTTTTGAAACGCTGTCTGAACTACGATAGGTTCTCGAAATCTCACCAACATTGAGTGATGTCATGTAGTCATTGGTGACCTCAACAACAGCTAGTGTGGGTGCCAACATTGCATGGTCACGCAAACAACTTATATTTTTTGTTGATTCAACATACTCTGGGAAGATGCTCTGAACAATTACAGCAATAAGATCTTTATCTGTGCGTTTTAACAGATCTTCATGAATAGAGATCTTCAGGAATGAAGATATTAGCATGACCATCATTACTATCACCCGTGCGTTGCAGGTCATATAATTTTTTGTTATAAATTTTATGTTTATGTATGTAAACAAAAAAGGATAAATTTTACAATTAAAAAGGTATTATATATTAGTTTGTAATTTATAATAGTATAAAGAAAAAATAATAAATAATTATGACTCATATAAGGCCATTGTAGTACATTATATTATGAGCCTGTTTGGTAATATGAAAATTGGACAGCCACCCTGTTTATAACGTTCTTCCAAAAAATCCATTAATATCACTTTTCTAAAAATCCATAAATATCGTTTTTCTAAAAACGTCTAGAACCGAATGGATATTGGATTAAATGTCCTTCAAAAGTTCCTAATTTTCTTTCAAGAACTGAATGAACTCACCCCTACATTTTTCTTCATAAGATGATATGGCAAAAAATCACTTTTTAGAACTATTCACACTGTTTTCTTTGATTACATTTTATTAATTAATGTATTGATGAATTATTCAAAAATATATTTTCTAAATTTGTATTATTCTAATTTTTCAAAATTTGTTTTTTAATAGTTTTTACTAATAGAGAATTATATATTCAAATGGTTAAAGCTACGCATCGACGAACGTGCAAAGTGAACCGTTGCGCTTATTTAAGAACAAATGAAGTATAACCTAAATTAACCCATTTTTTTACGGCCCAAACCTATTTACACTATAAGCTACACTCCAGTCTTATCTAAAAAATAATTTGAAAGTATACACTATTATACATTTTTTTTTAAATTTATCCTTCATTCTATCATATTATTTCATTATTTTTCATCATATGCTCAATAATTTATATCTCTGCCTTTATTCATCATCCCACTCACTTTAAAAGTTAATGGATCTTTGTGTTATGGAGCTTGTATAAGGTTGAAGTGTTGAACCATGGGCTTGTTATTTTAAAAAGAAAGTGATATTCCCTTCTCTCCCATTGGACTTAACCAACTTTCATTTATTATTTGTCCGAAACAATTTTGACACTTCCTTTTAAAGTCATGAATTTATGGCTCTATTTCTTTTTCATCTCTATAAATCTTAATCACGCAATTTTTATTATTTTAATTTCACAACTAACATTAACTTAAAAAGTTTAGTGAGGCAGAATTAGTATTTTTTTTACTCCGTAGTAAATAAAAAAAGAAAAGTTAATGAATTACGGGGTTAGGAGTACATTTTAAAGTGATTGATTTATGTGGAATTTCCAGAACCAAGGGAAGGAGCACCTACATTTTAAAATGGTAGATTTATCTGGAATTTCCGCAACCTACTTTGCTTCTAATTAGCCTTTTACCAAAAAACCCCACCAACTTCAATTTTCACACCCCGTCTGTACTCATCTCTTCTCCCTAATTTCCCATCACCGTCCATTTTTTTCTCCCTTCACATCCTTACCAATTCCCAAACTTGTACTCAGATTTTACAAACTCGGACCTTCTTGCCACATGCAAAGTAATTTTCTCCCAATTTCATATTGGGATCAAAGTTTGAGGTTAAGAAGTGTCCAGACAGATTTGCACAATCCAAGAGGTAAAAGTGCTTTGATGATTAATTTTATATATCTTCCTGAGATCTTGGTCAAAGGTGCCGTTTTGTAACTCTCACGCGTAGATCTACGTCTCTGAGGCGATATAAACAATTCCAACAATGTTGCCAGGATCTAGACTACAAATAATTAGCATGGCGGACTGTAAATAGCTGTCTATGTATCTGCAGAAACACCCATTAATTAATAGCTGGCTTATCTTCCTCTATGCACAGGTATCCATAACTTTTATTCTTTGTTGTTGTGTCGAGAAACATCTTTACTTTGCTAGCCAACATATTCATAGTGTTTAACTTGAAAGGATTTGAGGCCATGCAATTTACTCCGTAATTTAAAAAAAAATGCTATTTCCAAATTCTTTTATTAGTCATCTATCCGTTTCTTTAAATTTGTTCTTAATAATTTTTTTTATGAATCTTCTATCTCTTAAAAATCTTTAATGGTGTTTAAAAATCTTCTTTTTCATAAACTTACGGGTACTTGTGTGTTAAAACTTTACACATACATATGAGGAGTATATGACAAACATGTAACCACTTCATTGGCATGTCTATGACGTGCAACTCTGGGATTTCAACCTCGAACGCTGCAGTCTTCTTGAAGAAACGTAGTCTGTACGCACTTGTAGTTGTTTTGAAGTACATGCGATTTTCCTCGACCATAAAATTCTCCACAGCAAATATCCGACTTTTCCTAAATCCTAAACATGTTAAAGAATTTGCCCATGGATTTTTGACCCGCCCTATTGTTTTCAAAATCAGGGAGTCAAGTATAATGAAATTAAATTATAAGAGAAGGAAACAAAGACGAAACACAGTTCATGACTACCTCCTCATCGTGAAATATAACCTCCGCCCAGGTTGTCCTGCTTTAGAGATTTTTTTTTATTGCTATGCGGTATTACAGCGGAACTTGAGAACGATACAAAAAAAATGAATCTGGAGCTGTGCTTTTATACTGCAACATGTAGGTGCGGTTTGCCAAAAACAGCATGCCCCATACGTCGTTACTGTTTGCCCGCCCCTTTCTTCCAATAGAAAGCCGGCCAGCAAACATCAGATCAAAAATTTTATACACAGTAGCCACCACAATATTAACCAATAGGAACCCTCAATTCTTTTGGTTACTATGCCCACCTCAATCCTCAGCCAATAGGATTGGCGTTCCCAGAAAAAATCAAGTGGCACCCGAACCCATAACTTGCAATACATTCCCTGGATTTATTATCCCTTAAAGGAATTAAAAAATGAACACATGAAGTTGACGGTTCTGGGCGGGAAGATTGTGCATCGAAATTCTTTTCCTTTTAGATAAGAATAGATTTTTACGAAGTACTTTGTATTTATAGACTAGCTATAATGTGGAGAAATTATAAGAGGTCAGCTACCACCCTTTATGTATATAAGTTATGTTGGTATCGTCTGAAGAATTCAATTTCCAGGTCATATCCAAGTACAAGCAAATTGAAGAATCCAATTCCTAATTTCCCTGAAGTTTCCTCCATGTGCAAGAATGACAAAGGGATCTTCCATACACCTAGGAGTGACCTTCCTTCCAACCACCATTGAAGCTTCCTTCCACCTTCATAGTACCTAGTTTTGGTGCTATAAATAGAGAGCTTGGAGAGTCTTTCTATCATCAAGTAAATTAGAATAGATCATCATAGCACAACCAAGAAGAGTTGTGAATATCCTTGAGAGATATGTGAGATGTTGTTTTGAGAGTTTTTAGTTAGAGCTTGTATGTCTCTTCTTTCTATTCTTGAAAGTAATAGAAGTGTTTTTCTCTCATATTAGCACGATCCTGTTATTCCCAACAAGTGGTATCAGAGACTGGTTGAGCTTTTGATATTTTTCTCAGATTTTTTTCAGATAAAATTCTACTGTCTGAAAAATCGAGTTTTTCAGTATTGCTCGGATTTGCAATCTGAATATACCGTTGGATTCGTCTCGTCGAGATGAGAAAACTGGTATTTTTGGGGATTTTTTTGGCCACCGGAAGCAGCCGTACGCGCCTCCAAACGCCGGCCAAAAACTGCCTGCGTCATGCTGACGTCATCACGCGCAGGCAGAGGTTGAAGACAGCTGACGTCATCGCTGACGTCATCAGCCAGCCAGAGCTGCGTCAGCGACACGTCAGCGCCACATGTGCAGTCCCAACACAGTCATCTGCCACGTCACCAGTCAACTGCCAACTTTCACCAGCGCCCAGTCAGCTGCCACGTCATCGCCCAGTCACCGCCACGTCACCGCCACGTCATCTGCCACGTCACCGGTCAGTTTGTAATTTTGAAAATTTGCAGTTTGGTCCCTCAATTTTTGGAAAATTATAATTTCCACCTATAATTTTTCGAAAATTGTATTTTGACCCCGAAAGTGCCTACCCACCACTTTCGGCCGTTCCGGACGCAACGGTGCTGCCCGTTTTTCGAAATTCGGCTCCGATTTTTCTGAAACAGAAAATCAAAATTATTTAGAAGGTGAAAATGACCTTTGACGAGTCAACTTCATCTTCCGGAGCTATGATTATGCTCACGGCTACCAACTACACGCTATGGAAACCTCGGATGGAAGATTTCCTTAGTTGTAAAGACCTTTTTTATCCAATAGAGATGAAAGGTATTAATTCTGATCCGGCCAAGTCAACGGAGTGGAAGAAAATTAATAGAAAAACTATTGGTCAAATCCGACAATGGATTGACCATAGTGTCTTCCACCATGTTGCACAAGAAACCGATGCTTATGCCCTTTGGAAAAAGTTAGAAGATATGTACCAGGCCAAGACCGCTAGGAACAAGGCCCTACTGATGAGGCGTCTTGTCAATATGAAGCTCAAAAGTGGAACTTCTGTTGCCGAACATACTAGTCAATTTCAGAGTCTGGTAAATCAACTATCTTGTGTAGAAATGCCACTTGGAGATGAAATGCAATCTCTACTGCTTCTTAGTTCCCTTCCTGATAGTTGGGAGACACTAGTTGTTACTCTCAGCAACTCAGCCCCAGATGGCAAACTTACCATGTCTGTGGTCAAGGATGCACTGTTCAATGAGGAGGCAAGAAGGAAAGACATGAGCACAGATGAGACTCATGCCCTTGTGACAGAGAATAGAGGAAGATCACAAGGAAAACAACAAAGAAACAGTAGAGGGAAATGGCAAAGCAGGGGCAAAAGTCGGGGGAGATCATCAGATGGCCGGAAACCTTCTTATACCTGCCACCATTGCGGTATAGAGGGTCACATGAAGAAGAATTGCTACAAATTGCTAGAGGAGCGAGGCAAGAGCAATTCTCAAGTGAAGAGCAAGGGTGGTGAAGCGCTCATCACAATCTCAGGTGATGTGGCGTATTGTACTATCAATGATGAAACATGCCTTCACGTCTCAAGAGAGGACACTGAATGGGTGGTAGATACTGCAGCATCCTACCATGTTACTCCCCACAGGTACTACTTCACAACTTACAAAGCTGGAGACTTTGGAGCAGTGAAGATGGGCAATTCCAGTTCATCTGAAATAGCTGGAATTGGTGATGTACAAATAAAGACGAGTTCTGGGAGCACAATCACTTTGAAGGATGTCAGACATGTTCCAGACCTTCGTCTCAATCTCCTGTCAGTGGTATGTCTTGACGAACAGGGGTATGAAAACTACTTTAACAGGGGCACCTGGAAAATGTCAAAGGGCGTTTTGACAATCGCTCGAGGACATGTTTGTGGCACATTGTACAAAACCCATTTGAGGATTTGTACGGATAGCCTCAACATATATTGCTGAGGAGACTTCTCAAAATCTGTGGCACCTGAGACTCGGCCACATCGGTGAGAAAGGGCTGACTACCTTGATCAAGAAGAACCTTATCAACATCGACAAGAATGCTGCACTGGGTCCTTGCAGTCATTGTCTGTTTGGTAAGCATCATAGAGTATCATTTAGTTCTACTTCAGCTAAAAGATCAGAGTTGTTAAGTTTGGTACACTCCGACGTCTGTGGTCCTTTTGAGGTGGAATCAATCGGTGGAAGCAGATATTTTCTGACTTTTATTGATGATGCTTCTCGGAAAGTGTGGGTGTATTTCCTGATTACGAAAGATCAGGTATTTGAGTGCTTCAAGACATTTCACGTCTTGGTGGAACGTGAAACGGGAAAGAAGCTGAAATGTCTCCGATCTGATAATGGAGGCGAGTACACATCCAAGGCGTTCGATGCATATTGCAGAGAATATGGCATTCGACATGAGAAGTCAGTACCACGCACCCCTCAGCACAACGGCGTTGCTGAAAGAATGAACCGGACTATCATGGAGCGTGTCCGGAGCATGCTGAATATGGCTAAGCTTCCGAAGTCATTCTGGGCAGAAGCAGTCAACACCGCATGCTACCTTATCAACCGGTCACCTTCGGTACCACTGAACTTTGAAGTTCCAGAGAGGTTATGGACAGGTAAGGATCCTACATACTCACATCTTAGAGTATTTGGTTGTTCATCATATGCACATGTATCCAAAGAGCTCAGGCAGAAGCTCGATGCAAGAACTATCCCATGCATTTTCGTTGGCTATGGAAATGAAGAGTTTGGATACAGGCTATGGGATCCTAAGGAGAAAAAGGTGTTCAGAAGTAGGGATGTTGTGTTCCACGAAGATTTGACAATAGAAGACATTGAAAAACCCACAATGTCTCGGAAGTCAAATGAGGGTGCTCAAGTTTCAAATGAAGCACCAGAAGAGGACGAAGTGCATGAAGATAACTCAGAAGCAGAAGAACACGAGGAGACAGAAGAGAGTGCAGGGCAAGGGGAGACACAATCCACCCCGCCAGACACAGATGATGGTAGCTCTTCTCATATGGTCCCTACTGTTCGTAGATCTGAACGAGGGCATATACCATCGACAAGGTACACATCATCTGAATATCTTTTGTTAACTGAAGATGGAGAACCAGAGAGTTTTCAAGAAGCTGTATCTCATAAGGATAAAGAAAAATGGCTAATAGCAATGCAGGATGAGTTAGAATCTCTGCAGAAAAATCAAACTTATGAGATCGTAGAACTTCCTAAAGGGAAGAAGGCACTGAGGAACAAATGGGTGTTCAAGCTGAAGAAGGATGCAAACGGACAAGTGGTGAAACACAAAGCTCGGTTGGTTGTCAAAGGGTTCCAGCAGAAGAAAGGAATTGACTTTGATGAGATCTTTGCACCAGTTGTTGTAACGCCCCTCTCAGGGTTAAAGGAAACGTTACACTAACTTATTACTTTTTAAAAATAAGTGCAATATAATGGCCATCTATTTAAGAAAATAACCCTGATAAAATCTCAAATATAACTAAAATATAGCTCCAAATAAAAACTCAATAAAATCTAGTTATCACCAGAAAATGCGACAACCACCTGGATCCAGGAATTTATTCAAACATCAAATCCTCAAATAAAATAACTTAATAACAATTTCTTTATTTTAATACTGAACTACTGAAACGAAACAATAACTAGCTAGAAGCCGCCAAGGTCGTTCCCGTTAACTCATCTTGGCACACGTTCCACTCCCTCATCATCTTCCTAGGCCTTGGCCTTGGCTTTAGTATCTGTACATGCGAAGAAAGAACACTGATAAGCTTTACGCTTAGTAAGTCACTATGGATCCACAAAAATATCTAGAAGTCTATGCCAATTTATCAATAGATAAATTTAGGCTATAAGCATGCACTGAACAAATAACTATCACATAACTTCTCAAATACATTCTGAGGGAGATCTCAAAAGGAAAATATTTTCTAGAATAATTTCTCAAAACTGCTGGAGAGATCTCAAAGTTTCTTTCTCAAAACATCTCTGTAAAACTTTCTAAAAGAGATCTCAAAAACAACTTTTTGTAAAACTTTCTGAAAGAGATCTCATTAAACTTTCTGTATAACTCTTTGTGGCTAATTTTACTCTGTGGGCCCGTGATATGTACTCAAAGGCGCCAATCCGACAGCTCAGGGGAGCGACCCACTAAACATATCGGACTCTCTGAAACTGATAACTCTGTAACTCTGTGGGAACTTGTTCCCGAGTACATATCACTTAATCTTTCACTTTAATTATTAGTTCTTTTTATAGTGTCGTTTGGATAAAAATATCATTAATTCAGAAAATAAAAATACTGACAAACTCTTGACTATGCCAGATAATAATCATCACTTAATACAACAAATAAAATAACTCAGCAAATAACTCACCAAGTTCACATAATAGCAAATAGACTAAAATCATCTATTAAAAATCAACAAGACTTCTTTCTTTTATTTGTTTGAACAAACATGTACAGGTGGTAGTGAACTTACCTGATTGAAGCTGAACTCAAATTACTCA